CATTAGAAAATGTAACCCTGACTTTAGATAAAATAACTGTTCAGTATTAGGACACTTTGAAAGTCAACCACCAGAGGGCGCCCTTGGTCTGTGTTTTCATCACCAGCTTTTGGTTTCATCCATTAAAATTATGGCTTTTTGTCCATTTGTTAGTCAAACAAAACAAACTAAACTAAACTAAACTAAACTAAACTAAACTAAACTAAACTAAACTAAACTAAACTAAACTAAACTAAACTAAAATAAAGAATTCCTTTGGTTCAGTCAGATTTAACTGTTTAAACCAAACTCATGCCGCCATTTTCCATTAAAAGAAAGAAAGTTTGACAACGCTTCCACCCTTCTTTTTTTTCTATTGTTATGAACTTTAACCTTTAACCTGCTAATGAGGCTTAGAGCCTGTGATGGAGCTTTTGGCTTTTTTTTTATTCATTATTTTTTGTCAAATTCTCTGCACATTTGGGTGAATCTGTTGGGACTGTCKCTTCTGAGAAGACTGCCAGAGGTCTGAAATATTTTCCATTTGCAAATACTGTTTTGAGTAGTTTGAATCTGACCTTTAACCTTTCCCAAACAGCAGTGAATTCTCTGAGCTCATAGCTGATGTCTTTACGTTGACATTTTGCTAATACACACACACGCACGCACGCACGCACGCACACACACACACACACACACACACACCTGGTCACACTATGATGATGATGCAGCTTATCCACAGCAGGAGGAGACTTTATAATTTTCCCCACACAGCTTTTTCCTTTTAGTTTGTATTTTCTTTAATTAAAAAAAGTGGAATATTTATTGTATCTTTGCACACTTGAGGTTAGATTTAACTAYTTTTAGAACCCGCTAAAGATCCGATCATCCTTATGTTCTGATAGGTGAATGAAAGTGGGTGGACATTCTATTTCCACTCATATCTGTAAACACTTGGCACGTCTTGATGTGTGATCACAGCACAGAGTTCTGAAGGAACATATTGCTCAGCTTTAACTTAACACATTTTTTTTTTATAAATAATACTTATTTTACAGTATTATTTTTTTTAACAAGTAAAAACTGTTAAGTAGCAGGATTTCCTGTCCAACCAGCCCACCAGTTTCTTCCAGTGACTCATGCCAATGGTTAGTGGATAAACTGACAAAATAAAGTTTACTTCAAGTTTCAGTTTTTTAGAGAAATTTGAATTGAGATTAGAAAAAAAATGCTTAACTTAGGGAACTGAGCAACAGACRGGTAACAACAAAGTGAAAGGTCAGATCATTTTTTGTTACAACATGATTTATTAGAGAAAAAAGTAACATTAAAGTAGCAAAATCTCAGGTTATAGTATGATATTATGTGTGATTGCAAATGTCAGTGTTTAAGTAATATGTTGAGTATGACTCTCAACTACTACCACATATTTAAAAAATCTAATATCTGTAAATCTCAAATAATTTGTTATCTAGGGTTGATTAGGTGTGGCAATCATCTTGATCTGGGTTGAGTCCAAAASTTAATCTTCACATCAAATAATGAACTTCTGACAGTTTCATTAAAATCCATCCAGTGTTTATTAAGGGGATATTTTACTGACAGAGTTCTCTACAGCATTTAAAGTTTTAATAACGGTGTGATCATATACTTGGAGGATAAATAAACATTTCAACTTCAGCTCAAAACTCTGAAACTGATTGAATTACTGTACATCCATTTGTGTCTGCTAGGTTAGCTTAGCTTCAGTGGCCATTTTGAATCAGACTGTGAAAGTTAATGAGTTATGTGTGAAAATCTAGTGAGTTTTATAAATATAGAAATCTAAGAAAACATCAAACCAATGAAAAAAACCTGTTTAGTGCAGTGGTTTGGTTCTTCTAAAATTTTTTCTTTAATGCTTGTTTCGAGGCTCGTTGGATTTTCCCCCCCCCTGAAATTGATATAAAAAGAATAACATAACATAAATTTTAAACTGCAGCATGTCTCAGGAAACAAACAGCAGCCTGTTCGTAAAGTGACTTCCTGTCCTCAGACATCATACAGCTGAGCAGAAACATTCCTCCACTGTTGCATCATGGTCTTTGTGGCAGCTGCACTCTGCCTCCTTCATGTGACTTTCATAACAGAGAGTGACAAAATGACTTGATTATTCTGGAGAAATTTAAAATGCTGAGATTATTTTAATTAAAAGGAAGCCTGTTTCAAACCTCAGATCTTTTAGGCGGGGTTCAGTCTGAACCGGAGTTAGTAAACAGTTTATATCTCCTGTGGAGGAAACCAAACACATCTGGAGGAGTTAAGCAGGAAGCCGGTTGTGCAGGAAAGACGTCCGGATTGCTCACAGTCTTCTGAATTAGCAGATTATCTCATGAACCACTGGACTGATTTAAATGAAACTTGCAAAAAGTAATCATCAGTATCTCTATCGCTGATTAACTTTACTTTTGGAGTCAGCAGATTTTGTGATGGCCGCCACAGCCAACTGACCTTAAACAAAAATGGCTACAGCTTGTGCTAATTTTGAGCTAAATGTTAGTGTGGTCGTGACTGAGCTTTATCCCCTATACTTATAATTTAAGCACAAAAGTTGAACAATAACTGAGCTTAAAACTTGGGCAGTAAATGTTGGAATCATTTTCTTCTGTCTGTCAGCAAAAATATTTCATGAACCAATCAATGTATTTTACTGACACTGCCAGAAAGTGATCTTTAGCTGCACCTCTACAGTTAATATCCTTTCGGAGTCAATTCAGTTTAAGGTGGCTGCCACAGCTAATCAACYTTAGCCAACACAAAAATAGCTGTAAATTAGTTCATTTTAAAGGTGTTGGGATATACTTAGGTTTGGTAATAGCCGAGAGTCATCCTTAACACCTTTTCTGAGCAGTAATTCATTTGGCAAAACTTCAAAGTTTAGCCTGAGGCTATGAGTTACGACTCCATCCCTTCTTTGCATAAGAGGATTTTTAGTTTAAATCTCTGGTATGAAAGATGATGGGCGACATGCATTCCTCGAGGAAATATACTTGTAATTTATTAGTGAGGTACACGTAGTCATTTCTGTGCGCTTGGCTTTAAGTTGAGGGCAAAAGCAAAGAATGTTCTTCTGACTTCTGCTGAGGTCGGAGCAAAGACGCCCAGACGTTCTCAAATAGCATCTCTTTAGTGCTGTTATGTAAGAAGTTGCTCCTCCCTGCTCCTGAAAACACGTGCCCAGCTCTTGTCATCCTACGTGATCTTCAGCTTTGCACTTGGTGAAATGTTGCATCAAACTCACTCTTTCTGGGTAAAACTCTGCAGATATGCACTCACTGTACATTCGAACAACACAAAGACTATTCTGTGAGTGGGGAGGCCCCTAGAAAATGAGCCCCACAACATTTATTTTAGCAAATTACCCTTGAGTTTTAATCTTTACTTGTCACCTTTTCTATGAAGCTCAYTAAAACAATTTATCTGAAAAAAGCTTTCAGCCTTGAACTCAACCTTCTTCGAGAAAGCCTGAATGGTTTTTTCACTCCGATTCCCAAATTCCCTTTGACGTCTATAGGGAAATGTTTCTGTTTTTACCAATTTAGTCTGTGTTATATGAAGTACCACTACCAGCACTTCCAGCTCACTGTTCTCAGTTGAGTGATTTGGTTTGATGTAATTTTTGGGGAAATGAAAACAGAAGAAAAACTGGCAAAAAGTAAAAACCCAAAGGAAAAACAGAAACTTTTATCAAAACTGGTAATTATTCTTTCTTCAGTTTCCTGTCCTCATCATGAATCCATGACTTCCTGTATATCCCATCAGTCTTTTCACTGGACATTAACAGCTCTGATGGGACTTTGTTGACCCAGGTTTTGCCCTCACTCTGCACATAATGAGGAATTTTAAGGGTCCTTTACAACCCCCCCAGGACTGGGACCAGGGTATTTATGAGGAGGGATGATGAGGGTTTAATTTGTTCTGTACCACACTTTAATCTAGACCCCATAGATCTGTGCAGAAATGCAACACTGGCTTAGCCTGAGTTATTTTTCCTTTTTTTTTTTTTTTTTTTGCTTTAGTCTCGCTGAGGAATGTTCTGGAAGCCTCCCTTGACGTGTCACTGTGGAGGGAAAAAAAAGCTAACCATTCTTCAGCTGCATGGGATGCTGTAAAAAAAGTAGATTCAGAGATTAAGACAGTAGTTTATAATGCTGATCATAATGCAGGATAGTTACATGCATAATGAATAATCTTAGTTCATTATTTTTCATTGCTTTTTATAATGTCTTCCTTAATGCTTTCTTTTGCTTTTTGTACAAAAATAAATCAATAAAAAGAGAAAACAGTTTCAACATTTTGTAGAATTAGAATTTTTTTTAGTTAAACAAAAAAAAAAGGCATTTAAGAAAAAGGGGGTTCTACTTTAGTTAATGTCAGCATTTATCTTAGCACCCCCATCCTTCATCCACCCTGCTGCTGAGTTGGAGACACGTGGCACTATGGGGTGGGGYGTGGGATAACAGCGCTCACTGCTTCTCCGAAGCTCCAACACCACTGAATGAAACTTTTAACACTATGAGACGTTTTCTTCTCCGCAGCAGTGAGGAAATAAAAGACACAATACAAGCTTTTATTCTGAAAATACGAGGAAACAATGAATCCTTTCAGATGTTATAAAAAAGTGCATTTGCTCAAATGTGCAACAAAGTGACAAACACTTAAACATGTGCAGAAATACTTCATTTTATAGGAAAAAAACATCAGTTTTTATTGTATTTTGCAAGTGATGAAACCAGAGTTGAGGATTGAGTCAGCGCTCTGCATCAGAAGCAAAAAGTCCAAGCGGGACGTCCGAACATCAGCAGCTGGCCTCCGATCAGAGTTCCTCTGAGTTTGTGTCTCTAGTTGCAGTGGGAAAGTTTCCACGCTGATCCCAGACCAGTCAGGAGGAGTTAACCTTCAGCCATTCCACCCTGTGATTCCAGCAGAGAAAGGGGGACGTCCCAGCTCCCAACTTCCTGAGCAAACACACGTCCTTATTTGAATATCCCATTCCCATTTTCTAGAAAATTCCCTTCATGGATATATAGAGCTGCAGAGAGCGTCCCAGTTATGCCACCCACTGGAGCCGAGCGAGAGAAGAAGCCCTGAGAACCTGRGCCAGGTGAGGAGTGAAGAATAACTCTTGTTGTTTCAGGGAGGAACGTGGAGGCTGAACGGACCGCTTCTGCTTGAAGGTTACAGTTCAGCTTTGCATTCCTCCCTTTTAACCCTGCTGCTTTTTCTCTGCTCTTTTGTGTCAAAGCTTAGCCACCACTTTCAATCAGATCAACCCCAGGAAAAGTGTTTGAAGTGAAGTCAGCCTTTTGGAAAATCTGCTTCAAAAGAGAAACAAAGAGGAGGAAAAAAAGAGAGAGTGTGATAGAAAATGTTTCTGTTTCAGCCAGAAGCTGAAAATGTTCTCGCCTCTTCCCCTGTGCAGATTACAACATCCACTTTTTGTCTTTCAGAATGAAAATCGCAGACTTGAAAACGTCTCCAGGTATCCAAAAGTGAAATGAATTCAATCTGTCTGATGAATGTGCAAATTTAAAGAGATGCAGCAGACATCCCTCTGCAAACAGGATGCCATTGTGGCTGCTTATTCCCAGCCTCAGGCTACAAATTTAGCTCTTTGTTTGAAACTGTTTGTGATTGAGTTCGACACATCCTGCAGGATCACACACCCTTCAGGGGCTCAGAGACTGCTCTACATTACAAGTGTGTTTTTTAAATTATCTAAAGAACATTGTGCATCAAGAAGCACAATGAAGTAAAGAAGTCAAGCATCATATTTCAGTCTGAGGTCAGCACACAGCTTCAGCTTTCAGCTGCTGACGTGGCACTGATCACATCTGAAGGCTTTCCCATTTAAAGGCCTTACATTAACTTTTTTTTTGCTTTTATGAAAAAGAGTTTGAATAAATAAGTACAACTCTGCTAGATTAGTTTGTTTCACCAGTTTTCTCGGTTTTCTCAACGTGTCGTGCTTTCTTGTTGTTCGCTCCCTGCAGGCTGCTGCAGCTGTGTTTGGAACCAGACAGGATGTGGATGATTAACGTTGTCGCTGTTTGTCTGCTGGCCTTCGCGGCCGCCGCAGASGAAAAGAAGCTGAGCAGCCACGCCACCACGCTGGCTGAAAAGAGTGCCAACCTGGCCTTCAGGTCTTTAAACATGCTTTTAGTGTGAAACTGCTGCACGGTTTTTCATGACTGAACGGCAAAAGTAAAGTTTCTGTCTGTTTGATTTTGTTAAAATTTCAGCCTSTACCAAACCATGGCGAAGGACAAAACCACGGAGAACATTGTGGTCTCTCCRGTCGTCGTCGCCTCCTCTTTGGGGTTGGTGGCTCTCGGGGGTAAGGCCTCCACCGCCTCTCAGGTCAAAACCGTCCTCAGTGCCGACAAGCTCAAGGATGAGCACCTGCACTCGGGCCTGTCGGAGCTCCTCTCCGAGGTAAACGCCATACTGATCCACACAGGGAGAACGTTTAAACTAGAATCTCTGAACGTTATTGAGCACACGCGTTACTTTCAGGTGAGTGATGCRAAGACCCGCAACTCAACCTGGAAGATCAACAACCGCCTCTACGGGCCCAGCTCCGTCTCCTTCGCCGACGACTTCGTGAAGAGCAGCAAGAAGCACTACAACTACGACCACTCCAAGATCAACCTCAGGGACAAGAGGAGCGCAGTGAACTCCATCAACGAGTGGGCGGCCAAGTCCACGGACGGCAAGCTGCCCGAGGTCACCAAGGACGTGGAGAACCCGGACGGCGCCATGATCGTCAACGCCATGTTCTTCAAGCGTGAGTACAGATCTTAACTGATCTGAGAAACTGTGGGGATAAGAGTGTCTGAGTTTRGTTGTTGTTGTGTCCCGCAGCTCACTGGGACGAGAAATTCCACGAAAAAATGGTCGACAACCGAGGTTTCCTGGTGACCCGCTCCTTTACAGTGGGAGTTCCCATGATGCACCGCACAGGCAAGTCTCTGATGTTGTTWTTGTCTTCCCAACGTGTGCCAACACGAACACCCGAGATGATCTGATCTGATGTCTGGGCTCCACGCAGGTCTCTACGACTTCCTCGAGGACAAAGAGAACCAGCTCTACGTGCTGAACATGCCTCTGGGCCAGAAGCAGGCCTCCATGATCCTTATCATGCCGTACCACCTGGAGCCTCTGGAGCGCCTGGAGAAGCTGCTGACAAGGAAGCAGGTGGACACCTGGCTCAGCAAGATGGAGAACAAAGCCGTGGCTATCTCCCTTCCCAAAATCTCCGTCGAAGTCAGCCACAACCTGCAGGTAAACGATTCAGTCAAACAAATACATTGGAGAGTTTACAAATCTGCTGTTGGAGTTTTGACTGATTCCACCTTTGTTTTCTTGTGTGGTTCCAGAAATACCTGGCTGAACTCGGCCTGACTGAGGCTGTGGACAAGTCCAAGGCTGACCTGTCCAACATCTCCGGGAAGAAGGACCTGTACCTGTCCAACGTCTTCCACGCGTCGGCCCTGGAGCTGAGCATCGAGGGAAACCCGTACGACACCAGCATCTTCGGCACAGAGAAGCTGCGGAACCCCAAACTTTTCTACGTGGACCACCCCTTCATTTTCCTGGTGAAAGACAACAAGACCAACTCCATCCTGTACATCGGCAGGGTGGTTAGACCGAAGGGAGACAAGATGCGCGATGAGCTATAATGTTAAAGAATGGTGCTGGGTAGATTTTAAACTTGTGAAACCATGGCAGGAAACTGTWTGTGTGTGTGTGTGTGTTGGTGTGTTTTTATTGGTGTGACTGTTACCTCAAGAGCACTTCCAATAGACAATCTGTGGACTGGATATCTGAGTACAAAAATTCAAAGGCGATTTGTAGACATTTTAAATTTTCGACTCCATAGACCAACATCAGTCGGCGTACATGCTTATATTAAGCGTGGTTTGTTTTGTATTTAACATCTTATTTTGCCGGTGTTGGTCCTACCGAGACCCATGTGCGTTTTCTTCCACTATCTTTAATGTTTAAAGAAAGAAAAAAAGATCTTTGCACAAGCTTTGTTTTCACAGATTCCTGTTCATTTTGCCTCCGTTTTGCACTGAGCTGTTCCTCGGCTCCAGCTGAGCTTGCAGTGAAAAGGTGGTAAATATCTGGTCCTACTTGTGCTCTCTGTCCATTCATGATTTGTCATTGTGTTGCTGTAGGTGACTTTTTTTTGTTTTTGTTTTGTTTTCCGCAGAGCAGCTGTTCAGACTGTGTGATTATGTTATAGTATGTGAATATTTGTTTCTCAATAAATTAATTTTAAAAAGACTTCAGCATGGTTGTTCTACTTCTGGCTTCAGAAAATCAACCCAATACAAATGCTTGTCTTTTCCGAGRGTTGAACAGAGGAATGTGAGCGCTCCAGTGAGCACGTGTCAACATTTAGAGATAACGTTTCCAGCCGACTGGAGCTCAAACACGCCTTCCATGTCTGGATTGCAGAGATTCAACAATAAGGGCTCTCCTGCCTTCTGTCTGCTAATCCAGCCGAGACGCAGACAATTTTTGTCTAACCACTTCTCCCATAAACAATGCAGCTTGTAAAAAAATAAAATTAAATAAATTAAATTAAATAAAATTTAAAAAAAAGACTGGGGTGCAGGGCTCTCATGGTGATCGGGGAAGCTTTATCACAAGTGTCTCAAACCTGACCGAAAAGGTGGCTGCTGATAACAGACAGCAACCGTGGTTTTTGTTTTACAGCTGAATCATTTGTCTTGCAGTTTATTAGTTGAACATTTGTAGCAGCAATAAAATAAGAAAATACGGTATTAAATAAAACAATGCAGTTTTTTTTTTTGATGAATGAAATCCTGCAGCAGATTTTCATATACAGAAGCACAGCGCCCCCTGGTGGCTGTAAAGAATAACAAATCACCTTCAAGTTGACGACACAAATATTGTGACAGTGATTTACAGAAACATTTTAATTTGCATTGRAATTATAACAGGAATGTATAGTATAAATAAAATAAAATAAAAGCTGCACATGCAAACAGTTTTATTTGAATTTAAAGTTATTTCACTTTCCCTTTTCTAAAAATGTACTAACACTTGGCTTATTGTTAAACAGATTCTTTTAAGTGTTGACACCCAATTCATAATTGGGACCTGTACTTTTAAGAGTACATCTATTTCTATCTAAAAGTATCTTTTTATACTTTGTGATTCCTTTTACTTTGTTTTTAGATGCWTTTCCTCTCATCTGTCTGTTGTACAAGTACAGCAGAGGGAAGAATTTAATTCATTGACTACTGTTGTTCTATTGTAAATATAAAAGGTAAAGTGAAGAAAATGCTTCAAAAAAAATAAAAAATAAATAAAAATGTTGCTTGTATTGGCCTCAGGAAACACAAGCCACTATTCTGTCCAGTTGTGGTGAAAAATAAGATAATGAAATTGTTGAGTTAAATATGTTTGGGACTTAAAGAGCTTATATTCAGTCTTAAATTAACACATTTTTGAAAAAAAAAAAACAGACCCCAAAAATTAAAGGCCCTCTCTGTACTACAGASACTTTTTGTAAATACTTTTTTGTCCAAACAATTCTAACAAAAATGTTGTGACACTAATGCATCACCACTAGATGGCGAGAATGTCTGGTTTATTCAAGGAGGTTATTCAAGTCTACGGGTTTATCAACTTCAAATTACAGAGAAAGATTTTTTTAAACTGGTTAAAGATTATACAGAGCCTGTCTGATGACAGTTTAAAAAATGGGAACAAGATAATTTTAAACAACCAAATGAAGTGTCTCTTGCTAAGAATTAATTTATGTTTTATAGCCAGTGACTTAAGTATGTCATTGTAATTCATTTCTATATTAAAATAAAAATAAATTAATTCAAACTTGTCCATGTTAAAAATTAACTGTCTGCATGGAAATGACTGCAATAACTATCTCTTTCCCATTATTTTTTTTACACATTAACACTCCTAAAACAATAAATGAATAACACAAACCAATAAAACCGAATCAGAGATCATTCAGAGATACTTCTTGTAACAATAATGTTTTGAAAAAAAATCAGAAATTATTCGCATTCTTGTGTATCTTCTCTAATATTTATTTTCCACCATTTTGACCATAACTGATGGGAAAAACATTCACCTTTGTGCTGATTACTTTTGAATGTGCTAATCACTACTCTGTATGGTGAAATACCTTATAAAATATGAAATGAACAGGAACACTAATATTTACTATTTCTGCACAGAGGATGGAAGCCAAGTTGAATTTTATGCTTTTTAATGTTCATATTTCCCCCAGTCAGTACCTTTTTCAATACATGATCACATTTGAATGTTGACAGATTCATAATATAATGAGATGAAAAAAAAAAACTATACAACTACAACAACAGCTTTTTTATGGTTTTAACGTCTTCTACTTTGGAAAAACGTAATACCGGCCATAAAAAAACATTATTTAACACAGACCCAACAAAAARAAAGGTTTTAGAAATCTCCATTAAAATTCCTCACTAAGAAAAAATCTGTTTGCTTATAGACAACAGGTATAAACACATCAGATAACCTTAATAATGATGTCCAGAGTAATGCAGAAATATGCAGGACRGAAACTGACATTGTTAAAAATAAAAATAGGAATAGATAAATGGCCCAATAAAAAAAACACTTAAACTGCATAAATTAATTTTAAAAAAGGAGGACTTTCCCTCATGTTTTTTTTATTTATTTGACCATCATAGTTATTTTCCATCTTAGTTCCAACAAACAATATATTTTAGCAGATAATTTATAATATTTACGTATATTCCCTTTTACTTGCCTCAGTTTAGCTTAAAGCTGAAAGTTTAAAACAAAGGCAAGAAAAAAACCCCTTACCTGTGCCTTTGTGTTAAACTAAACTTTAAACTTCTGCACATCTACACATGGCTCCTGCTCRATCTTGTCATTAATAGGAGAGGAGCTGACCCAAGAAGGACCGCCCACCCAATTTGCATAATGAGGCAGAAATGCAGAAAGTAAAATAAAAACAGGAAACAGAAAAATGCAAAAAAAAAATAAAACTGACGCATTTTAAGTGTATTTATTTCTTTATTGGCCCATTTATATATTTCTCCTTTTATTTTTATTTATGTCAGTTTCGGTCCTCCATACAGACAGGACCTTTGTGTTTCCCTGTGAGGAAGTTGAGATTTTAATTGACTCACAGGGCAAAAACAGAGAAAAATTTTCATAACCCAACTCTTTTATTCTTATACTAAACAAAATGTGTTTGGTCCAAAAAAAAACTTGTAGGGGTGGGATAATTAAGCACACACACAAAAAAAGCAGCAGCTGTTTTCTCTTTCAGACACGTGGACACYATAGCAGCATTTGGATAGTTAATATTATTATAACAGCAGCTAAGAACCTCATCTGAGTTACCTACAAACAGACACCGTGAATAAAAARGTCAGCATGAAATAGGCGTTGGGGGCGTTCAGTCAGTCTGTGGACAGGTGACCCTGCGGTCGCCCTGTTGACCACTCAGTGGTCAGAGAGTTTAGAGAGGATCGAATGGGTCCATCCTTCATTAAGGAGCAGGTTCCTGCTGTTCTGGCAGCAGACAGGTAGGCAGATCATGTGACCTCTCTCTCTCTCTCTCTCTCTCTCTCTCATTACATTAGCACCGTGTTCCGCTGTGCTGGCTGCAGGAAGATTAGCCAGTCGATGAACAATCCTCTTAAAGAAGTCTGCATTAGGCCACACCGAGAGGCTGGCTCTTCCAGCCTCATCCTCCTGCTGATGTTCCTCCTTTAAACAAATCTCCTCTTCCTTCTTCTCATCCATTCACTTTTTGTCCACCTGCCTGTTGGCCTTGCGGAAATGAGTCTTGATCTCATCTGTCACCATCTCTTGCCAGTTGTCCCTGGTCAACAGAAAACATGAAGTTAAAGCCTTTGCTGTATCTTAGAGAACATTTCACTTTAGGCAGGGATGAGATGATACAAGCACAACAAAGGCTGCCACTATAACAAAACAAAGAAACCACAGGACAAATCGAAAGCTGGAAACCAGAAATGAGCTTTTTTTTAAGAGTCAGATCAGAAGATTACTGAGACGATCCTTCAGTTAGAGTTAGGAGTCAATGAGAGAAAACTCTAGGTCACATCAAACATACAGCCAGGGTAAAACCTTCACAACACGTAACACAACACCGGGGCAGCATGCAGGTTTGTACCTCCTGAGTCCTAACTGAGTGCGTCAAGCCTTTTTCTCTGCTTTCTTTCTCCTGTAGGCAGCTACGTCCTCGGGCCTGAGCCCGTGGTTGTCTTCCCTGAGGTGACATTTGATGTTTAGGTCCACAGACAGCAGTTTTACATGTTTAATGCAATGCAACAGTTTATTAAGAGGTGATACATTTCCTTCTGCAGCATTAGAAAAACCGAAAACAAAATAATACAAACAAACATCGAATCATGTGACTCCACAGAAAAGAGCAACAAAAGCTTTTTTCTACGAGAATAGAATTTTAGTGAAGTGAGTTGTTTCATAGTTCAGTCTTACCTCACAGTGGAATCTTATCAAGGTTTAAGTCACAGTGTGAGCTGACTTTTTGAGACCTGTTTTCACTRTATGTTTTATGATTCTTAAATATTTCACCACAAAGTGTTCAGCTTAGAAGTTGAATTTGTCATGAGTTAACCTTTGAGCTATCTGAATTTGGAAAATTTAGATCTTATTCCCTCAAACGTTCCACTTCTTATATAGTTTATACTTAAAGCACAAGTTTATATTTTTTCTGCTCAGTGTGTCTTTCATTTCTTTAGGARTTAGATCTTCTCTGGACTCTCCCCAGAATCTCGAGATTATGCAACAAGACTCTTGTTGACTTCCAMTGTACTGCAGCTCAGATTTTTCCTCTTCAAATACTGCGTTATCTGACAAAATTCCCAATTTAAAGACAGCRCCTGTTGTGTGACTGTGGCCAGGGGCCGAGCCAGGGGGTGGCTATGGCAACCATGGACTCTTTTGTTATAAGATACCACCATTTTTGCCTGTCGCAAAGCATCATGGTCCAGTTTGGGGGCAAATGGGTCATATGTCGTGGATTATCTGTGTGTATATGCAATAAAGATTGCAGATACATGAAAATGAGTTTGAATATAGAATAATGAAAACATGTCTCTGCTCTAGAAATATAATATAAATCTAACCATATACAGCGGGTAAAATAAGTATTGAACACGTCACCATTTTTCTCAGTAAATATATTACTAGAGGTGCTAATGACATGAAATGTTCACCAGATGTTGGTAACAACCCAAGTGATCCATACATACAAAGAAATCAAACCATAAATGTCCAGAAATGAAGTTATTTGTAATAATGTGGAATGGCACAGGGAAAAAGTATTGAACACATGAAGAAAGGGAGGTGTAAAAAGGCATGGAAAGCCGAGTGAAAAGAATGATCAGAAGAGTTG